ACAGTTTACATAAATTTTTTAAAAAACTTTTCCGTATTGCCGTGCAGAGACATTGTAGCTGATGGAAGATGTCTGAATAATGTTCTGGCAACTGTACTTTTTCAATAAATGAACCTAGTATTTTATAGGTTCAAAGAGACACAAAATCTCGTTTTTATTCATTCCTCTGAAAGTCTGTTTTGATCAAATAGAAATAGAGGCCTGCCTCTAATTCTGGCCTCCTTCCAATAATGGCCTGTACCAAGATGCACCTGAGTGAAACAAAGGCCCCATCCTATATTGGAGGATTTACGGTAGTAAAAGTCCACAACAGCTCATTGAAAGCATTGGAAACTATCCCTGATGACAGAAACACATCGCATTCACGTCCTTAGTGCTATGGGGTGCCCAATGTAAACATTTAGCAAAAATGAGAAATAAATTTTTTTTTTTTTTTGATATTTCCATTATTTGGTACATTTAATGTTTTTTTTTCCTCATGCCTCTCATGATAAATGCTAATTATCATATTTAAATTTATATAGATTAAAAAAAATATATATATTTACATACTATATATCTATTTAAATGTTGTCACTACATCGATAGATAGATGGATGGATGGATGGATGGATGGATGGATGGATGAACTTTATTCCGGACTCATGGTCCAATAAATACATACAAATTACATGCAAATCTTAAATCTAAATATATATGTTAAATCATAAAACTAAATAATATATCTGACTTGCATTTTCAGAAGATATACTAATAAAACACCCAAAGATAAATATTTAGATTTAAGATTTTGAGAAAATATATATTTAGATATAAAGTTAAGATTTACACATAGATTTGCATATAAATATAACATTTATATTTAGGCCAAGATTTAACATACACATTTAGGATTTGCATAAGAATAGATGTGCAGATCTTCATGGTTCTTTTGGGTTAGTTTCAGTGTTCGTACAGGTTTATGCAAAAACTATAAATGTAATAGATACAGTGTGTGTCAGATGTTTACATAAACTCATCAACTGTATAAAGGTCAAAAATACGGGGCTTGTAAATATTTATCTTTGCATTTATAATACAAAATACATCTTTATTGATTTAGAAATGACTTGGTGACATGAACTTGAATTTATTCAGCATTTTATGGGATGGATGGATGGATGGATGGATGGATGGATGGATGGATGGATGGATGGATGGATGATGGATGGATGGACAAACACAAAACAAAAAACTCTTCATTTAAGAATTTCTACATTTTATGTAAACACTGTAAAAAATCCAAATCTAGATAAGTAATTTTTTCTTAAAATAAATGAATTTGCTCTTGGATTGAGGAGTTAAAAGTGACATTTTGCCAATGGAACAAGACAATTTACTCTTAAAATAGGAACACACAACTGCAATTTTATTATTTTAAGTGCATTTTATCCAATTATCTTATTTTAAGAGTAAAAATACTGATTCCATTGGCAAACTACCCCATTTACTTACTCAAATTAAGGGTAAATAAACTTAATTTAAGAAAATTCAACTTATATCTAGATCGTTTTTCCAGTGAACTGGTTTGTTTTGTATCCAGCTTTTGCTCTTATCACACAATTCTCAATATATTTGAGCTCCTGGCTGATTTAGGAGCCTTATTTTAGTCTGCTTTATCTCATCTAAAGCAAGTTTCGAAGTGTTTGACACCATTATCCTGTTGGATTACCCAGCTGTGATCAGGCTTCAGCCATCTGTCTGTTTAGAACCCAAACATGACGCCACCAACATGGTCAACCGTTGGTTCAGAGCTCTTAAGTTCAAAACCCTCATCTTTACTTCTGATAGAAATATCTGTAACAGAATTGGGGTGAGATAGTTTAATCTTTGTCTCCTGTGACTATTAATTGATTATTTTCCTGGTTTAGAAAGATTTCAGTCCATGTTTATGTAAAACTCACTTCTGCAGACCTTGAAGTCTGTGTCCTAGCACCTTCAGCTATGACAAGCATAAAACCTGCTCTTCCTGAACAATATAATTAATTTATTTTCCTTCCAGAGGAACATTTCAGGTCTGGTGATATTAGTTATAAACATTTGGGTTTTCCAATGATTCATTATAGCTGGTTTTAGAAAGGTTTCCTGGAAAACCTCCTCAAAGCTTCAACCTCAATCCCATAAACCATTTATATGCCTAATAGCTAGACCAGTGCCAGGAAGCCAACAGATTTAAGTTAACTCTGTCATTTATGACAAGAGGAGATCGTAAATGATCAGAAACACCTTTTTTTTTTTGGCTACAAAATATGGATTTCCTTTCCAGTTTACTTAAGTACATTTAACTTAATAGGGTGTAATACTGTGAATTAGGGAAATAAATGCATGCTTAAATATTTTTGTGTAGTTGCTTTTGTCTTGTTGGAACTCAACTGTTTCATGTTTTTAAAGGCAATTGTTTTGGAAAGCTAAGTTTGAGCTGATTAACAACACTAAGGTCTGATTACTGCCAAGCATGTAGAACCACCACGTCACAATTTACCTTAAAAAGCTTAAAAATCTTTCTCATCTATCTACAAAGGGGGGCCAAGTCCATTTGTAAGGTTTTGGCAGGCCAGTGAACTACTGTGAGAGCCTTTACCTACGATGAAACCTTCACAGGAGTGCTAAGCTAACCAAAGCTATTATTAGAGCTCATCTACAAATGAGAAACATTGGAAAAAGGAGGCAGGGAAAGCAGAATAAAGCGTTAGCCTCGCTGCATGCAGTTAGCCAAGCCTTGTAGCTAAATAATTCTATAAACCTCTAAATCAGGAGCACTTTATAACTGTGGCAGGAGGTGGAGGGCAAATAAAGTTGCTTTCAGCTCAGGGAGCAGGATAGCTGCGCCCCAGGATGGTCCAATCCTTTAGCATTGCAGAGGAGCTACTGCGAAACAAGGGTCTACGGGCAAAGATTTAGAAATACATCAGGAGTCCGACGCCGAACCAGACTCATCATTAAAGGCATACTATGCAACATTTTTCAGTTAATGTGTTCCATAATATTTTGGATGATCAAATTAGTCATTTCAGGTCGAACAAAGGTTTTCTCGGCCGCCCTAGTGGTCTGTAGGGGAAATACCGTACATGCAATTGCAAGTCTCGTGCATCGCGAGAGTCGGTCTTGCTTTACGGCGAGAACTTGGCTAACTACAATCTTTGTTATTTAGAGACACGCATAACAAATAATGTATGACAACATGCTAAATTTTCAACCTCGAAAATTGGAACAAAATAGTCACTTACCGCAGTAGACATGGTGATTCGTTGCGTTCGCCTGTCTGCTAAGCTCAAAACAACCGCGCCTGGCTTGACGGAGAAACCAGGAGAACAGCTGAGCATATTTACGACAGTGCACTTTTACTTTCGCCCTCTGGGGGGAGCCTCGCTGGAAAATCAACACTGGTTGCATAGTATACCTTTAAAGATTAAATATTTATCTTGCACATCTAAGAAATAATATATTTTGAAATATTTAAATCTATAATTTCATTAAATTTTTTTATGTCTTAATCAAAGTCATTAGGTGAGTGGGGTGCCGCCCTTGCTATTGGCCAGCTGCCGCTGATCCTTACTTACCTTAAGAACATGTTAAGTTATTGTTTGTTATGTTGGAAAACTGCCCTGTGGACGAGTTTCTGAACAGACTGTAACCAACTGTGCTTCAGTCTGTTACAGTACGGGTAAACATCCAGGTTCCTTCATCAAACTGTAGAGCCACACACCATGACACTCCCACCACCGTGCTTGGCTGTCAGGAAGACAGACTTGTCTTTATAATCGTCCATGCTTGCTGCCACACATGTTTAATTCCACCTGAACCAAACAAAGTCCATCTTGGCGTCTTCAGGCCACTGATATGGTTCCAGTAATCCAATTTACTGAGTCTGTTTTCTCATGTAAAGATTTTCTCCTGAAACAAAAGTCATGCAGACCAATTAAGATGAAGCGTGCAGTTTATTTGCTTCAGAAATACTTTATTAATCCCAAAGTGGAACATGATGTTCTTGCAACTCATATTGTTTTTTTTTTTTAGGTTTTTTTTTCAACCAGTAGCTCTCATGTTGATGTTAATGGAAACAGATTTTAAGAAGCCTCTGATTTAATACATCTAATGTTTGTACAAGAGTCTAAAAAGACAATGATCAAGGGTATCAGCAATGCTCATGTCTTTGTAAAATCATCTCCTGGGATGAAACTAGAGAAACTAAACAGAACTACTTTATTAGCTTGTCGAGCTTCTTTAATTATGTCCTGAACACTAATGACTGGATAAAACACCTCGAGAACTTTAACAGTAATCAGTGCCATGACACTGGGGAGGGATTACTGCAAATTATGCACAATTTGGATAATTTTACTAAAGATGTTTACTTATTTTATTTCCAGTGGTTTAGCGAGTTAAAACACACTGAGCTGCACACTAACTATCTCACATTTTGTTAAAGTGTCTTTTCTAACAGCACCTCTTCTGCTTTTTGCCCAATTCTTTGCAAACAGACCAATGTTGAAATAACTATCCTCATTTTCTGCAGCAGGTTATTTGCTGCAAACACACAGATTCTTCCTAGTCTGATACACAATGGAAAGCTTTTAGTCCCGGAGCCAAAGTGAGGCAGCATTTTGCATTTTAGGACTCAACCACAGCTGCTGTATGAGTGGTTCTCCATCTCCCTAATACTCATAGACTAAGAAGCCATTTCCTGCTTGATCGGTCCTGATGTGGTTGCATTATCTAGTCCTAGATCAATAAGTCTGTGCAACGTGTTGACTGTGCATTACTGTGCCCTTGGGGGACATAAATTTAGAAACTTGACAAAGAAGAAGTGGTCTGCATCTTCACCAGCAATCTGCATCAGTTTCTTTGTTGAAAGTCAGCTTTGAATAAATGCTGCCTTCAGCAACCTTCAGCTTTTCTTTGATTTTATTCTGAAAAATAAAATAGGTCTTGCTTTTTTCTTCTGTCTTATTTTTTCCCAGGTATCTTATTTTCCACATTAGTTTTCGGCCCAGCTTGTGGCTTCATCCTAGGTTCCATCTGTACCAAAGTCTACGTTGATGCTGTTTTCATCGACACCAGTAAGTGGCCATATTATTAAAGCTACAGTGTGTAATAATTACAGGCATATAAATTCAGAAATTTAATATATTATACATAACTATGTTATTTATCATCACCTATGAGCTCAGCCTTTTAACCATAACATTTGCGTTGCCTTAGAATTCGTTATTTATAATTACATAGGAGCGGGTCTCGCAGCCATGGAGGCTGACATCCTTGCGCTACGGCAGCGCAGAGGCAACAAACTAGCGATTGCGAGATCTCCCATGACGCTCGAAAATAACTACGGCAAGTTGAGAGAGATGAACTGAGACGGTACTGAACAGTAGATGGCAGTATTATGCCTGAGAAGCGTTTAGTCTGCCTGAAACCAAAGAAGAAGAAGAAGCAGGTATACTGCGCCTCGGTAACAAGAAAGGTGAACAAAGGCGGCAGGCGTGAGTGACTTTGCAAACTGTTTGGCACTGTGTGGCCAAACATCAGACGAATGGAGGATCATGCCTACTCTGTATCACAACGAAAAGCGGCGGACACCGAACCCCCGTCATCTAAGAAGCGGAAACACGACGAGAATAAACGCAAGAGTGACAAGAAACGACAAAAAACACGGATCAACATTGGCACGGCATTTACACGATGGAAGTCACTGATGGAGGAAAAAGGTTTTCAAAGTGACGCTCAAGTTGCCAGTTTTCTCTTGGACAGGTAATTAATCCTACACACACAATTGTCTAATATCACTGCAGTTTTTGGAGTACAGGATGCTCAGACCTGTCTAAAACAATAACATGCTGCGTGATGATGCTGTTACTCTCCAGTATACTTATTCAGCAACGTCCCTGACGTTTCACAGGTAATGATTCAGTAATTTTCTGTAAAATAATTTTCTGGATATATACCTCGGTTACTTCTCTCCGGCTCCTTTGGAGATCTTCAAGCCTTTCCTCCTCTGCTCTCACCCCGCTGGCTCCCCTCCCTCGGCTGGCCCTAGCTGCACGCTCACCCCGGCCTCTCTGCCCTCTTCCTTTCCCTCTTCCTTGCCTTGTAACCCCCGTGCCACAAACAAGACTTGGACTCTGTAAACGGGGAATATATATTCTTCCAGCGAACACAATCTCGCTGTTAAACTAATGACTACAATTACTTCGTCTGTTTATATCACCATGCAAAGCAGCTCACCAAAACGTCACAACGACGTAGAAAAAATAACGGGTATATTTATTATCTTAAGTCTACATGAAATCTATACCCTACACAGACTAATGAAATACTATCTGTAAAATTATCTATGTAAACAAACCTCATCACTTGAGAAGGTAGGTGATGCGGACGTCGTGGAAGACATTTTGTCCCGTAACGCTCGCCGTACTGTTGGGGGGGAGAAGCGGTGGGGGGGAGACGTTCATGTTGCTGCAGTCTGCAGTCTGACCGCTAGATGTCGCTGAAAATTACACACTGTAGCTTTAACATACTGTAGCTCAACTCTTATAATATTATATTTCTAAACAAAAGTTTTAATTACAGGAAAAAAATTAATTCTCTATGTAAGGTCTGAATATATCTAAATGTTTATTTTCTTGTCTTTCATATTCCTTATTTATTTATTTATTTATTTATTTATTTATTTTATTAAGAGCTTTTGGTGTTAAGCTTAAAATTATACTAACCTTATGTGTTTACAGGATTACCTTTACCATTTCCAGGTTTTTTTTTATTTTTAGGATTGCTTATCCCCATTGTTAGTTATTTACCACATACTTACCAGAACAATCCACATTGATACTCAAGTAAAACACTTTATAAAAATCATATCCTATTTTTTTTTTAAAGATATCAGTTTGTCATCCCATTATGCACACATTGTTAATGATGTTTAACACTTTTCATAGCACAGTGAAGAGTGCTAAGCTTCCTATAATCATCCCCATAAGGTAGAGAATAGAAAATGAAAAGAAGGAGCTGAGGAAGCCTGTTGTCTCAAATGTTATGACAAAAACATGCTGGTGCGCTAAGATGGATGATTGAATCAGGCAAACAAAAAGCAAACCATACCACGGCATGAATTAAGTGATAGAAAATTGTATCATAGGGAGACATAAGATGAAGTGACATTTTTACACTCTGTCTAACCTAAAACACAGACAGGAAGGCTTGAAACAGAGGACTTATAGTGATGTTAGAATAAATCTGTGCAGCAGAGTTTTTGCATGCATGTGATTTTCAAAAATCATGGCAAGTTCTAATTAAGGTGAGGATCATTTAGTGTTTTTTTTATTTTTATTTTAATAAACATGGTTGTAAATTGTTGAACCTTTTGTTCCAGGTAAACTGGACATCACCCCAGACGACCCTCGCTGGATCGGGGCATGGTGGGGCGGCTTCCTCCTCTGCAGTGCCTTACTCTTCGTGTCGGCCCTCTTTATGTTCGGTTTCCCCCAAGCGCTGGACGAGCAGGACATGGACGCTCGAGGGGAGAGCGAGCAAGCCATGCTGCCTACTTCGTTAAGCCATGAGAGCCAGGACTCTAAATCCAACGGAGAGTTTCGTGGCTTCGAAATGAACAGCGGACTCTCAGTCTGGGAGCATCTGAGATGTGAGGATGTGAACCGATGGTTGGAGGAAGTGGAGGAAAGGAAAATAAAGACACAATACTTTATTTTTATTTCTTACTTTTTTCCTTTCTTCTTCATGCACCCAGTGATCCCTCGGGTAACCAGGCACCTTCTCTCCAACCCTGTGTTCAGCTGCATTACACTGGCAGCCTGCATGGAGATAGCTGTGGTTGCAGGCTTTGCTGCGTTCCTGGGGAAATACCTGGAGCAGCAGTTTAACCTCACCACCTCCTCAGCCAATCAGCTGTTAGGTACGACAGACATGTTTCTAACTAAATGTTCGGCATCTAGGGATTTTACCATTGTAACATCATGGAAGATCTCAGTCAAAAGGAATTTAATTCAATTTTATTCAGTTTATTTATATAGTGCCTATTAAAGGAAAACCAGCTGACTGCATCGACTCATTGACTCGAAAGCAATCCCTCACACCAAGCACGCTTGTGTTCATCTGGTACAGAATAAGTCATTGTAGACTATCTATGGTCCAAGTTCTCCTTTTAAACCCCTCATGGCTAAAGTGGCACATGTCTACAACCAGTGACTATACTTCTAACACATACCAAGCATCACTTTGGAAGCACTTCCATCTAACACTGGAAAAATGACCTAGAAATAAGTAAAATTTTCTTAAATTAAGTGTATTTACCCTTAACATGAGTAGGTAAATGAGACAGTTTACCAGTGGAATGAGTGTTTTTACTCTTAAAACAAGATAATTAGATAACATGCACTTGAAATAAGACAATGCAATTGTTTTTTCTTATTTTAAGTGTAAATTGTCTTGTTCGATTGGCAAAAGGTCTCTTTTACCTCCTCAAACCAAGAACAAATGCACTTATTTTGAGAAAAAACAACTTATACAGATTTAGATTTTTCCTAGTGAAGTGGTTGAAGATCTGTCCATCTTTAGCTTATTCAGCTAACTGACTAAAATCTCAATCTGCATCTGCTTTATGTTTTGAATTACATGATGAAGTTTTGCTTAAATTTGCATCCGCCTAGAGTAAAAAACTCAAAAAATTATTTTTTTAATTTTACTTGTTCAATTAAATATATATAATATATGATTTGTAATTCATCATTGTGTATTTTCCAAATCTGTTCATTTCAAATCATTTTTCTATGTGTAGCAATAATTCACACCTCATATCATCTCAGGGCCAGTTAAAGGTTTAGATTAGATTAGATCAGATTAGATGAGCTTTATTGATCTCACAGTGGAGAAATTCACTCGTCACATATCGGCATAGAAGTTACAGAAGGTGCAAACAGGGAGGAAAAAGGTGCATTAAGAATAAGCAATAAATATACAGTACATCAAGATAAATAGGATTAAGCTGCAAGTGTACATGTATCGCACACAATGAAAAACAAAATAAAAATAAGCAATAAAAAAGTAAGAAATAAAAATATGTACAATCCGGATGGCTTATATACAGGTGAAGAAAAATTGCACATTCAGCGTATTGCACAGGATATTGCACAGTCAATAAATAAAAAACTATAATGTAGCTGCACAGTGATTTTTAAAGGAGTTATTGTGGTTATAGTGCATTATTATAGAGTCTGGTGGCAGCAGGAATGAATGACAATGTTTTTAATGTAAGAAACAGCTAAACAGATGCAGATGAGCTATTTAAGTTCAGCTGATGAAACAGAACATATACAGGTGCTGGTCATAAAATTAGAATATCATGAAAAAGTAGATTGATTTCAGTAATTCCATTTAAAAAGTGAAACTTGTATATTATATTCATACATTACATACAAACTCATATATTTCAGATGTTTATTTTGTTTAATTTTGATGATTACAAATGACAACAAATGAAAATCTCAAATTCATCATATCAGAAAATTAGAATATTACTGAAGACCAATAAAAACAAAGGATTTATAGAAATGTTGGCCAACTGAAAAGTATGAACATGAAAAGTATGAGCATGTACAGCACTCAGTATTTAGTTGGGCCTCCTTTGGCCTGTATTACTGCAGCAATGCGGCGTGGCATGGAGTCGATCAGTCTGTGGCACTGCTCAGGTGTTATGATAGCCCAGGTTGCTCTAATAGTGGCTTTTAGCTCTTCTGAATTGTTGGGTCTGGTGTATTGCATCTTCTTCTTCACAATACCCCATAGATTTTCTATGGGGTTAAGGTCAGGAGAGTTTGCTGGCCAATTAAGAACAGGGATACCATGGTCCTTCAACCAGGTACTGGTAGCTTTGGCACTGTGTGCAGGTGCCAAGTCCTGTTGGAAAATGAAATCTGCATCTCCAAAAAGTTGGTCAGCTGCAGGAAGCATGAAGTGCTCTAAAACTTCCTGGTATGTGGCTGCGTTGACCCTGGACCTCAGAAAACACAATGGACCAACACCAGCAGATGACATGGCACCCCAAACCATCACTGACTGTGGAAACTTTACACTGGACTTCAAGCAACGTGGATGAAGTGCCTCTCTTCTTTTCCTCCAGACTCTGGGACCTTGATTTCCAAAGGAAATGCAAAATTTACTTTCATCAGAGAACATGACTTTGGACCACTCACCAGCAGTCCAGTCCTGTTTCTCTTTAGCCCAGGCAAGACGCTTCTGACGCTGTCTGTGGTTCAAGAGTGGCTTGACACAAGGAATGCGACAGCAGAAACCCATGTCTTTCATACGTCTGTGTGTGGTGGTTCTTGAAGCACTCACTCCAGCTGCAGTCCACTCTTTGTGAATCTCCCCCACATTTTTGAATGGGTTTTGTTTCACAATCCTCTCCAGGGTGCGGTTATCTCTCTTGCTTGTACACTTTTTTCGACCACATCTTTTCCTTCCCTTCGCCTCTCTATTAATGTGCTTGGACACTGAGCTCTGTGAACAGCCAGCCTCTTTAGCGATGACCTTTTGTGTCTTGCCCTCCTTGTGCAAGGTGTCGATGGTCGTCTTTTGGACAACTGTCAAGTCAGCAGTCTTCCCCATGATTGTGTAGCCTATAGAACTAGACTGAAAGACCATTTAAAGGCTTTTGCAGGTGGTTTGAGTTAATTAGCTGATTAGAGTGTGGCACCAGGGGCCATCAATTTTGAACCTTTTCACAATATTCTAATTTTCTGATATGATGAATTTGAGATTTTCATTTGTTGTCATTTGTAATCATCAAAATTAAACAAAATAAACATCTGAAATATATGAGTTTGTATGTAATGTATAAATATAATATACAAGTTTCACTTTTTAAATGGAATTACTGAAATCAATCTACTTTTTCATGATATTCTAATTTTATGACCAGCACCTGTAGTTAGTTACAGCAGCTCAGTCGACTCCCTTTACACTGCAAAAATTATACAGAAATAAGTAAAGATTGTTAATTTAGGTATACTGTAGAGGAAAATCTTTTATTTCCGGATGGATCATCTAAATAAGTGGTCCTCCTAACTGTCAATCATTCTGGTGATATGTTTACGTAAGGCTGTCCTACATGCTCGTCCCGTTAGCTATCTTTTTCTGCGCACTTTCAGACATATGTCTGTGTTGTGAGCTACGCTTTCAGACAGTCATTGAAGCTCAGCTTCTCACCACGGTTCGTTGAAAATGGCCGAGGGTCGTAAGAGAAAAAGTGTCTATGAAGTGTATGAGAAGAAAAGAAAGGCCTCATGAGAGGCAAATATAGGCTATCCCATAATGTTTTGCACTGAGAGCACTCCTCGTAAAGCAGTATGGGATTTGCTGTCACAGCGGCCCACTGCCGCCATAGGCTGTCACTACCCCACAGTAATAACATAACTAATAACAAAGATGGCGCAGGCACCGCGGGGTGGAGGAGGAGTTATATGACCAAAAGGGAGCAAAAATCAGTGATCATCTGTCCGAACGGTAAGCTAACTGAGATCGCTATAATTTCTTCTAAATCATCACCGCTCTACATAGAACAACTTTTAAAAAGAAACTTGACAATGTCTAAAGAAGATAAACGTTAAGTGACGTCACGCACGTTTAATAGGCGTTCTATCTCGTTGGGTTGTCCATGTGCATTTTGTTTTTTTAAGTGGAGAGGGGGGTTCTTTTAAAAAATTTGGGGAAATCCCCCACAATACATTTAAATGTATATAATCTTAAGTTGAGTGGGTAAATAAGATGATTTGCCAATTTAATGAGTTTTTTTTACTCTTAAAATGTGAAAGTTGGATAATATTCACTTGAAATAAGACATAATGCAATACTTTTTTTCTTAAAATAAGTGTAAATTGTCTTGTTCCATTGGCAAAGTGTCTGACTTACCTCTGCAATTAAAGAAAAAATGAACTTAATTTTAAGGAAAAAAAGTCCCCTTCAGAATTCATTTTTTTGCTGTGTAGGACTGTGTCAGACTTGAACAGAACTATGGCCAGAGGAAAAGAATTCAAGTCACTAATTTCATGGTGGGATCATGTCAGTTATAGTTAGAGGTTCAGTAAGCTCTCTTGTAAACATCCTTGAAATGGAAGGTAGCTCTCTACAGGTGCTGGTCATAAAATTAGAATATCATGAAAAAGTAGATTGATTTCAGTAATTCCATTTAAAAAGTGAAACTTGTATATTATATTCATACATTACATACAAACTCATATATTTCAGATGTTTATTTTGTTTAATTTTGATGATTACAAATGACAACAAATGAAAATCTCAAATTCATCATATCAGAAAATTAGAATATTGTGAAAAGGTTCAAAATTGATGGCCCCTGGTGCCACACTCTAATCAGCTAATTAACTCAAACCACCTGCAAAAGCCTTTAAATGGTCTTTCAGTCTAGTTCTATAGGCTACACAATCATGGGGAAGACTGCTGACTTGACAGTTGTCCAAAAGACGACCATCGACACCTTGCACAAGGAGGGCAAGACACAAAAGGTCATCGCTAAAGAGGCTGGCTGTTCACAGAGCTCAGTGTCCAAGCACATTAATAGAGAGGCGAAGGGAAGGAAAAGATGTGGTCGAAAAAAGTGTACAAGCAAGAGAGATAACCGCACCCTGGAGAGGATTGTGAAACAAAACCCCTTCAAAAATGTGGGGGAGATTCACAAAGAGTGGACTGCAGCTGGAGTGAGTGCTTCAAGAACCACCACACACAGACGTATGAAAGACATGGGTTTCTGCTGTCGCATTCCTTGTGTCAAGCCACTCTTGAACCACAGACAGCGTCAGAAGCGTCTTGCCTGGGCTAAAGAGAAACAGGACTGGACTGCTGGTGAGTGGTCCAAAGTCATGTTCTCTGATGAAAGTAAATTTTGCATTTCCTTTGGAAATCAAGGTCCCAGAGTCTGGAGGAAAAGAAGAGAGGCACTTCATCCACGTTGCTTGAAGTCCAGTGTAAAGTTTCCACAGTCAGTGATGGTTTGGGGTGCCATGTCATCTGCTGGTGTTGGTCCATTGTGTTTTCTGAGGTCCAGGGTCAACGCAGCCACATACCAGGAAGTTTTAGAGCACTTCATGCTTCCTGCAGCTGACCAACTTTTTGGAGATGCAGATTTCATTTTCCAACAGGACTTGGCACCTGCACACAGTGCCAAAGCTACCAGTACCTGGTTGAAGGACCATGGTATCCCTGTTCTTAATTGGCCAGCAAACTCTCCTGACCTTAACCCCATAGAAAATCTATGGGGTATTGTGAAGAAGAAGATGCAATACACCAGACCCAACAATTCAGAAGAGCTAAAAGCCACTATTAGAGCAACCTGGGCTATCATAACACCTGAGCAGTGCCACAGACTGATCGACTCCATGCCACGCCGCATTGCTGCAGTAATACAGGCCAAAGGAGGCCCAACTAAATACTGAGTGCTGTACATGCTCATACTTTTCATGTTCATACTTTTCAGTTGGCCAACATTTCTATAAATCCTTTGTTTTTATTGGTCTTCAGTAATATTCTAATTTTCTGATATGATGAATTTGATATTTTCATTTGTTGTCATTTGTAATCATCAAAATTAAACAAAATAAACATCTGAAATATATGAGTTTGTATGTAATGTATGAATATAATATACAAGTTTCACTTTTTAAATGGAATTACTGAAATCAATCTACTTTTTCATGATATTCTAATTTTATGACCAGCACCTGTATTGAACTCTATCCTGTTGAGCAGGGAGGCAAACCCTGCAACAAATGGCCAACCACCCACACTGACACACATGGCAAGAAGAGCATCGACTACTGTAGAATGAGAGAGACGCTCGAGATCATGTTGACCTTTCAGCAAGTTAATCCTTAAGATGCAGGCAAAGCTAAAACATAATGGTTTGGATCCAATTTAATAGCAATGGAACAGTAGAAAACCAGGTTTATACCTGTATCCAATTGAGAATCTGTGAAAAGACATAAAAATAACAGTTGACATTTGTTCTCCATCCGGTATTTAATAGAAACTAAGAGGCAATGTTCCCCAGTCGATCTGAAAGTTATCTTTACAATGTAGGATTTATTACAATTACACTCCACATGTCAGATTTTCTTTCTTCTTTACAATTATCCCACACTTTGTGTTAGTTTATCATATAGAACAGGGGTCGGCAACCCGCGACTCCGGAGCCGCATGCGGCTCTTTCATCCTTAAACTGCAGCTCTGATTGGCTTGGGAAAATAAATTACTTAAAAAAAAAACTAAGTATTTAATTGACAGATGGCAGCTTACAGTCCTGCGTAAAGATGAGAGTGACTTCGTACAGCCCCGATTTGCAGACGCTGTTCGTAGAGGTTCAGGAGCAGAAGTCCCATTAACCAGGTTAAATAAATATTTATGCAGATATTTTGCAAATATTTATTTTTCATTGTTTAGTGACACAGTTCTTTTTTCCCCAATTTATTTTTGAAATTCAGGTCAAGGCTCCGCAACATGCTCTGAAAGCCCAAAGGCGATATAAGGATGACAGCTCACGGCATTTTTCTACTTTTGTTTGCTACATGGATAATTTAAATTCAGCTTTTTAATTTATTTGAAAGAGACATTCAGACATTGTATTATAATTATAAAATTAAATTTTCTCTGTAGCACTTCGTGGATTTCATAAGCAACACACTTTAGTTGTTTATACAAAGTGTAAAGGTAAGAAAAAGCAATATAAACAGTGTTATCTTCATTTTAGATAAGATGATAGTCCGTCTTCAAAAGGGTAGTCAAAGCACTAATGTGTACGGCTGGGGTGAACCCCGAAGCATGAAAGGGAAGTTGTTGTTGTTTTTTTTAAATATTTTTTCTTTCTATTTAATAAATGCGTTCATAAATATATTCATTTTAGATGTCATAAAGTATTTGCGGCTCCCAGTGTTTTCTTTTCCGTGGAAACCAGATCAAATGGCTCTTTCGGTGTTAAAGGTTGCCGACCCCTGATATAGAATATTGCTAATAAGCCTCTGAGTTTGTAGCTCTGGTTTGGCAAAAGAAATAATATGAATACTTTTGCAAACTGTCTCTGATGGTGATAAAAATCTCCCGATATCCTGACAAGCTTTTACTTCTTTACATAGCTTAAAATGTCATTTTTTTCATTTCCTTCCACCGCTTTCATTTACTCTGACATCTTCATTGTCCGAATTCCTTTATTCACCAATTAGATTTCCGTATGAAGGTGACTAGTCTTCTTCTTCTCCAGGTATGACAGCTATCCCCTGTGCCTGTTTGGGTATCTTCCTCGGGGGGCTTCTGGTTAAGAAGCTGAACCTTTCCGCTCTGGGGGCTGTCCGCATGGCCATGCTGGTCAACCTGGTGTCCACGGCTTGTTACGTGTCTTTCCTCTTCTTGGGCTGCGACACGGGGCCTGTCGCTGGGGTTACAGTCGCCTACAACAATGAGTGAGAATTTTGAATGTGGTGAAATCAATTCTGAATCTTTCCGGTATTTATCCTGCTGATATGATCTTCCACCACCTCTGTAGGACACTGCAGTCAAAGAAACAACCAGAGTCCGCCTGCAACAGTAACTGTAACTGTTACACGGCGTCAGTGAGTCCAGTCTGTGGCTCCAATGGAGTCACCTACATCTCAGCCTGCTTTGCTGGCTGCACCAAACCAGTGAGTGGAGAAAACAACAAAAAGTAATACCATGATTGTTCCCAACAAACAGTGCTTTACAGTCCGGTTCTTGTCTTTGTGTCAGAACCTGAGCAGCTGTTGGTGTATATCCAGCCTCAGCGACGAGAACGTGGCTTTACCGGGGAAGTGCCCCAGCCCCGGATGTCAGCGTGCATTCCTCACCTTCCTCTGTGTTATCTGTGTATGCAGCATGATCGGAGCCATGGCTCAGACACCCTCTGTCATCATCCTCATCAGGTACTATCCCAGTTTGCCCACAAGAGGGAGCCACTAACATTTGGAGCTGGCAGGAAGTGCTGGTGTGAGTCAGAGATTCATGAACACTGCAAGCGTGATTCATCAGGACAGGTGTCATGAGAGAAATACAGACAAACAGGGGAATATTTGTCACTTATACATACATTTTTAGTGATAAAGTCTGTAAGTAGGTGCAGATAAAGAGGCGGCTTGTATCTGGGCTCATGATTTTCATGATGGCTTCTCCTCTTCTTTGCAATCTGCCTCCTTCTGCCATTCACAAATTTGACAAAGCATTCATATCAAGCATTCACATCAAGCATTCACCCTGAGACATTTTAGACATTAGTTCAAAACATGATCTATATATATATATATATATATATATATATATATATATATATATATATATATATATATATACACACTCACCAGCCACTTTATTAGGTACCACATGCTAGTAACGGGTTGGACCCCCTTTTGCCTTCAGAACTGCCTCAATTCTTCGTGGCATAGATTCAACAAGGTGCTGGAAGCATTCCTCAGGGAGTTTGGTCCATATTGACATGATGGCATCACACAGTTGCCGCAGATTTGTCGGCTGCACATCCATGATGCGAATCTCCCGTTCCACCACATCCCAAAGATGCTCTATTGGATTGAGATCTGGTGACTGTGGAGGCCATTTGAGTACAGTGAACTCATTGTCATGTTCAAGAAACCAGTCTGAGATGATTCCAGCTTTATGACATGGCGCATTATCCTGCTGAAAGTAGCCATCAGAAGTTGGGTACATTGTGGTCATAAAGGGATGGACATGGTCAGCAACAATACTCAGGTAGGCTGTGGCGTTGCAACGATGCTCAATTGGTACCAAGGGGCCCAAAGAGTGCCAAGAAAATATTCCCCACACCATGACACCACCACCACCAGCCTGAACCGTTGATACAAGGCAGGATGGATCCATGCTTTCATGTTGTCGACGCCAAATTCTGACCCTACCATCCGAATGTCGCAGCAGAAATCGAGACTCATCAGACCAGGCAACGTTTTTCCAATCTTCTATTGTCCAATTTCGATGAGCTTGTGCAAATTGTAGCCTCAGTTTCCTGTTCTTAGCTGAAAGGAGTGGCACCCGGTGTGGTCTTCTGCTGCTGTAGCCCATCTGCCTCAAAGTTCGACGTACTGTGCGTTCAGAGATGCTCTTCTGCCCACCTTTGTTGTAACGGGTGGTTATTTGAGTCACTGTTGCCCTTCTATCAGCTCGAACCAGTCTGGCCATTCTCCTCTGACCTCTGGCATCAACAAGGCATTTCCGCCCACAGAACTGCCGCTCACTGGATGTTTTTTCTTTTTCGGACCATTCTCTGTAAACCCTAGAGATGGTTGTGCGTGAAAATCGCAGTAGATCAGCAGTTTCTGAAATACCCAGACCAGCCCTTCTGGCACCAACAATCACGCCACGTTCAAAGTCACTCAAATCTTCCCCATACTGATGCTCGGTTTGAACTGCAGGAGATTGTCTTGACCATGTCTACATGCCTAAATGCACTGAGTTGCCGCCATGTGATTGGCTGCTTAGAAATTAAGTGTTAACGAGCAGTTGGACATGTGTACCTAATAAAGTGGCCGGTGAGTGTATATATGTGTATATATATATATATATATATATATATATACATGTGTATGTATACATATATATATATATGTATACATATATATACCTATATACATACAAATATATATATACATATATGTATATCAATATTTTTGTAGCAGTGGCAATCCAATATATATATTGGATTGCCACTGCTACAAAAATATTGAATATTGCAGTTTTAATAATTGTTTCTATTTTGTAATAATTTGGAATTGGAAATCATGGAAGCACAGCAATTGTATGTATCTAATTATATATTTACAAAATTTAAGACTAAATCTGCCCTCAGGTTCTGTTCGATAAATTTAAGGTCAGCATCAACTAAAACAACGGATCTCTGTGGAGGATTTGTAAATAGATGTAAAGTCTGGTAAAAAGCTGCCAGAAGTATGGAGTTTAATACATTTTAAGCAAAAACAATTTATGTGCAGAATTGCTTGTTTCTTTTCTTGTCCTTGAAAAGCGACACTGTGCGTCTTTAAACTGATCTTAGCGGGTTAATTAGCTAAGCTATTGGATCGGATAGCCAGCCTTCACTATGCTCCCTAACCCATCTGCCACTGAAGCATGCCATCTGTACTTAGAACAGCTCAATAACTGTAATACAGGATGCTTTTTCTGTTTCAAAGTCATGGCTTTCCAAAATGGCAGTTATTTTGAGAAACATGTAGAAGTTTGCTTAAATAGGTCAGGAAAAGTAGTCATCAGTAAACAGAGGCAGGTCCACACGCAAGTAGGAGAGAATCTACGATCGCATAAGACGCTAGCCAGGAGCACAAAGGAGGAGGATGCTCTCATACATGCGTTACTGTATTTGCGGCCTCATGGTACTAAATCTGTATGCATGAAATGTTCAGTTTGCATGTGGAAAGCTGTATTAGGGATTCATTTCACTGTATTTAAGAGCAACTGAAAATGTAAATACTGTAACCATGTAGAGACAGAAGTTGCATGCTGTAGGGCTCCCAAATTTCTAGAGTTTGTGAAACGATACGTTTAAGGTCCTGGGAAGTTTTTGAAAGCAGTTATAAAAGACACTCATCCTTGAAAGTCCTTCATATTTTTCTTGAGTGAGTGTGATTAACATGTGCCTAACAACACGTACATGGGTGTTCTTCTCATGTGTGACTTAGTGAATTTTCCAATTTGTTGGATCAGTGTGAAATGGACACAGTTTAGCAAAAAATGCTATGCTAAGGTCATTATAATCATTAATCATCAGAGATGGCAAAAGTACTCACTTTCCGTACTTGAGTAAAAGTACAGATACTTGTGTTAAAAAATACCCTGATTAAAGTGGAAGTACTGATTAAACTTCTTTACTCAAGTAAAAGTAACAAAGTACAGACTTGTAAATTTACTTAAAGTATAAAAGTAAAAGTAGAAACCACTTTTTTCATTTAAATGGATGTCTGCCAATAGGACTAGATCTCTGTTGTGTTCATTTTCAATCATCTCGTCGTCCATGCTACTATGCTAACGCCACCGCCACCAAGCTGCAATGATTTGCCGCCAATGAATACCGCCGAATCTGTCGATTCATCTTGTAGTGGTGCGTCAAATGCAACGTAGATTCCCATCCAATTAGATTGAATTTGGTATTGATGACGTGAAAAATAATAACGGTAACTCCATTGAAATGATTCAAAACTAAAGTAACGAGCCAATTTTTTAAAATGTAAGGAGTAGAAAGTACAGATATTTGTGTAAAAATGTAAGGAGTAAAAGTAAAAAGTCGCCATAAAAATAAGTAGTAAAGTAAAGTAAAAATATCAGAAAAATCTACTTGAGTACAGTAACGAAGTATTTGTACTTTGTTACTTTCCATCTCTGTTAATCATCATCATTTATTATCATATTGTCATTACAATGTAATTATCACTGCTTCTTACCTGCACTTTAAAAAATGAAATAGTCTAGAGAGATGTACTTAACAAAATGTGTTTTTGTTTACAATTGTGTTTAGAAAATGACAAAATAAAATCTGTCTAAGTCTATAAAGGACCCCTAAAATGAACATCCTGTTTCTTTAGTGGATGACCATTGGCCGTAAACTACAACCTGTGTTTTCTTTTAGCAATCAAAATTCAAGAAAAGAAAATTTTCCACTGTTCAAAAGCACTTAAATCAGATTTTTCTCAATAAGGTTTTATGACCTCACAATGGCACTGCTACTATAGTCTCTTTTCTCTTTAGATCAGAGGTCTTCAACAGGGGGTCCGCGACCCCTAGGGGGTCCGCGAAGGTACTGCATGGGGGTCGCGAAAGTCTTGTTTGATTACTTTTTTTTATATTCCCTCCTGCAATTTTTTGCACTAATTAAAATGTCTTTAAATACACATTAACATGAATTCAACGCACTGTAGTAAACATATAAATGGAAGCAGAAGATGTCCTTCAGTCATCAATGCACACTCTTTCAAACCTGGGCACCATTTCATTCACAACACCTGTCCCATCAACAAGGAATCAGAATCAGAAATACTTTAATAATCCCAGAGAGAAATTACTTTCGTTACATGACTCCATATGTAAAAGAGTGACTATAGGACCAGTTTAATATAACACAATTTCACACAATATATATAATTAGGGGGTCCCTGCTCCATCTCGCAATCAGTTTGGGGGTCCTTGGCCTTGAAAACGTTGAAGACCCCTGCTTTAGATATTTTTTTCCAAGTGCAGTTAAGACAATTCTATCTTTCTTGTGAAATATGAGATGGCCTCAGTAAGGATTAATATCATCCATCCATCCATCCATCCATTTTGCTTCCAGGGGCGCTGGTGTCTATCTCCAGCTGTCTAAGGGCGAGAGGCGGGTTCCACCCTGGACAGGTCACCAGTCCATCGCAGGGAAACACAGAGACAAACAGGACAAACAACCATTGACACCTAAGGAGAATTTAGAGAAGCATTAATATCATCCACTTCTAATTAGAGACATGGACGGGGGGAGGGTCGTCCCCCCCTGGTGGCTCAATTTTTAAAAATTGTGTGCGTCAAAATGCAAAAATATCCTCCCAGGAGCAAAAACAGGTGTTAAATTGCCCTCTACAATGGTGGGAACACACTATACGTGCCCTTTTTTCCCTTTCCACCCCTGCCTTTCAAAAAGCCTGTGCACACCACTGATACTGTCAATTAATAGCATCTTGAGTTGAACTTTTTTGCAACACATTTGTGGAAAGCTTCAAGGCTTTCAAGGATGTAATATATCAAAATATTTAATATTCATGTATTACAGATATTGGCCTAGAATATTAAATATAATTAAGGGTTTTTAACATGTTATCTACAATTAAAATTTATGACAATTATGCATACAAATGTAGTCTATTAATATTATTGATAATAATGGAAGTTAATTAATCCTTTTTCTTCATCAATTTTTAACATAAAACTTTTCTAAACCTTAATCCTGTTAGTGAAAGATATTTGTTCTCTTTACATGTGTGTGTCCAAGTTTGATGTCCGCAAGTTTTCAAACCTTTGTTTTTTACACAAAACAGATTAGGGACGCAACATCGCAATGAAAAGTTTGTTTAGTAACTTCTAAAATAGTTTTATTATCAAAAGCTTCTTTTAATCAAAAACCTAAAAGTAATGTATATTCTGATGTATTGAATGTCACTGTATAACACAAGGCTATGTGGTTTGTTTCATGGCGATCATAACCCACTTTAGTTGTGATATGGCAGTGTAAATACAATTCAACAAAGTCCAACAACATGTCTATGCTGCCTTAAAAAAACACAAAATCCTTTGCCAGCTTGATCTAATCCAATAAAATATCCATTAAAAATAAAACTATTCTAGAAAAGTGTCACAAGACTCCAAAAGGTTCCGGTTAAACTAGATTGAAAAAGTCGTAATGCTGTTTTAGAGCAGCTTGAAAGAAGATCATTTGATGGTTTGGACTCATTGTCTCCTGCAAGACATTTTAATCGCTTTAAGTATCTTGGACATTTTTATATGATATATATTTTGATAATATCTTATGTAGAGTTTAATTCTATAGAAGTTTTTACATGTTGTTAAACTAGGAATAGGCGGTATAATCAGAGGTTTTCTGTTGTCTTTATCAGGACTGATATTCTTCACTGCAAAAAATCTAAATCTAGATAAGTCATTTTTTCATAAAATAAGTGCATTTGTTCTTGGATTGAGGAGGTAAGAGACATTTTGCCAATGGAACAAGACAATTTACACTTAAAATAAGAAAACACAATTGCATTGTCTTATTTCAAGTGCATATTATCTAATTATCTTATTGTAAGAGTAAAAATACTCATTCCATTGGCAAACTATCTCATTTACCTGCTCAAATTAAGGGTAAATACACTTAATTTAAGAAATTTTTACTTATTTCTAGATCGTTTTTGCAGTGTTCAGATTGAAAATGAGCAGATTGTAATAATCTGTGGAAATCATTATTATCATCATTTCAATGATTGCTGTGGAAATGTGACCAGCATGGGTTCCTACACAACAAAACAGGAAACTAAAGGAAACTCTTGAGACAATAAATTATTTGACTTTGCTGCAATGTTACCTTTTTTTGGATTTGTTTTCAGATGTTTTGTTCATCTTTTTATGCTTCATACACATTGTTACAATCATCAGCGTTTACATTGCAGAGTTCTTGTCCTGCATCACTGGATCAAGCTGAGATGTGTGCATTAATCACCATGTTCTTGTTTTCCTCAATAGAACTGTAAACCCAGAGCTTAAATCCTACGCTCTTGGAGTTCTTTTCCTCCTCCTGAGGCTGATCGGTAAGATATTACACTTTACACCTTGATTGCTCTGTAGTTTAACTGTGACATTGAAATGTCAGAATGGTTTTTCACCTTCCTTAACAACGGCATCAGTCTGACGGCTCAGGCACAGCTGGAGCTTGAGCTCAAACCTGTGCTCTTCTTGGCCTTTTGACCCGCTGTCTCTGCACATTCCCACTTTCCCTCCAGGCTTCATCCCTCCCCCTCTGATCTTCGGAATGGGGATCGACTCCACCTGTCTGTCCTGGAGCTCCGTCTGCGGCGAGAAGGGCGCCTGCATGCTTTACGACAACGTGGCCTACAGGCATCTGTACGTCAGCATCGCCATCGTGCTGAAGTCCTCCGCGTTCCTCCTGTACGCCACCACGTGGCAGTGCCTGAAAAACAACTACAGGAGGTACATCAAGAACAACGAGGGCTACCTCACCCCTAATGAACTTTTCGCTTCTAATGTGACTCTGGACAATTTGGGTAAGGAGATTACCCAGAACCCAAGGAACAGGACAAAATTTATATACAACCTAGAAGACCAGGAGACCAGTGACAACATGGAGTCGGTTTTATAGGAGTGATTTCCATTGAGTTAGCAGGAGCTGTTAACGTTCATCTGCTCTGATGTACAGACTCTCTTTGGTGTTGTATACAAGTAGAGCATTGTTCATCAAAAACATTAGATCTGTTAAAAACAACACCAGGAGTTCCTGAAAAAAATAGTCGCAAACTGACTTAGAAACAAATTTATTTGTGTGAGTTTTTCAGTTTTCACTATGAAAGCAGTGAAGACACAGAGCGCAGCCAGAGGATCTTGTTGGAACCAAAAGTGCTGGTTAGAAGTTTAAATAAGGCATGTGAGCTGTCAGCTATGGAGGACCAGGAGAGTCACCAAAATAGAATGGCAACCATTTCTAATTTAATATTTAAATCATACAATTAGAATCCCAGTTCTGAAAAGGGCTTTCTAATTGTACATTTCAAACTGAGTTACTAAAGAGGAATTGGTATTTGTATTTATTCATAATTTTTTTGATACTGCAATTTGAAAATATATATTTTTTAAACTATTACTAAATGGAGGTTTAAAAACCACAATTTATAAATCAGATTATAAATACCTCTCTTAAATAAACAGTTGTAACCAGCCCTCCTATTGGTTAGACTGCCATACTTGGTTTTACACAATGACCAATGAGGAAGCTGCTTATATCTGAGGTGCAACATGGATCAGTCTAATGCTACGTTCACACCGGACGCAGCAGGAGCAGCAAAATCGTGTCAGCTGCTTCATTTTTGCTGCTTGTACCAGTTAGTTCTGACGCGCGGCTGCGGAGCAAAAGTGTGTCTGATGCGCGTTGGGCGGAGCTTCACTATCCTTTCTTTTCCTTGCAGCTATATTTGCTGTGATCAGTGGGAATAAAGTAGTTTTAATATGTTTTTAAGTGAGAAAATCCACCTGAAAACTTAATCAGTGCAGTCAGTTCATCCAGATTACCATCCTGCCTTCCAATATTATTTCCGTCGGAGCCGCTCAGACCCCCACATACCAGCGGTGCACTGTCAGTAGGGATCCCATTCATCAGCAGCCTCTGGCCGGGTCGCCTCCTCGCGGTTCACCGCGGCAGCTGGTAGGTGTTTTTCATCTAAATAATCCAAACTGCAGGCACCAGGATAATAAAAGCGAACATATTCTGCCGGCAGATTTCTGCATTTTAAGTTAATTTAGGCGTCAATAAACTGTTTCAGAGGAGTGATCACAGCGCTCTGTGTCATCAGCGATGTGTTTGTCTCTCTGCCAGCTCCCAGATCAGCTTCTCTGATTGGTTGACGGGGCGCGTTGAGCAGCAAAAGTTCACTGTTTCCATCTCGAGAAGCAGCGCGTTTGCGGCGCGTCACGCGCGTCAGATGCTTAAACGCGTCCGACGCGCTGCTTCAGCTGCTCAGACACGCTGCGGGACCTTTTGCTGCGCCTTGACGCATGTCAACCATTGACTTTGCATGTAAACTCGCTGCTTCTGTCGCGCCTGCTGCGTCCGGTGTGAACATAGCATAAGGCAAAGGTCTTTAACAGGGAGTGTGCGACCCCTAGAGGGTCCACGGAGGTACTGCATGGGGGTCGCGAAAGTTTTGGTTGATTAGACTTTTTTTATATTCCCCCCTGCAATTTTTTCCACTAATTGAAATGTCTTTAAACCCACATTAACATGAACTCAACAGACTGTAGTAAACAGATAAATGGAGGCAGATGTCTTTCAGTCATCAATGCAAACATTCAGTGACACACTGGAGCTCTTTCAAGCTGGGCACCGTTTCATTCACAACACCTGTCCCATCAACCAGGAAGCAGAAATACTTTAATAATCCCAGGGAGGGATTACTTTCGTTACAATAGAGTGACTATAGGACCAGTTTGATATAACACAATTTCATACAATATATATAATTTAGGGGTCCCCGCTCCATCTTGCCATCAGTTTTGGGGTCCTTGGTCTGGCAAACGTTGAAGACTCCTGATTTAAGGGGTTCTTATTGTGGGCAGGGACCAGACGGGGCACAGAGAAGGTGAAGTAAAAAGAAAATGCAACCACAAAACAGTTTGAACATTCAAGGTGAAGAAGAAAATGAGAATGGAATAACGAATTACCTTTTTAAATGTGTGATTAAAAGAGGTATTTATAATCAGATTTATAAATTGTGGTTTAAAAATAGAATTTAAACTACATTTTCAAATGTCAGTGTTTAAAAATGGGTTAATACAATTACAAATCCTTTTTAATAATTAAATTTAAAATGTGCAATCAGAAGACTTTTAAAATAGCATTTCTAATTATAGAATTTAAATGGCTGTTTTTCTTTTACAGTAACTCTCCAGGTCGTCCATAAGCAGGTTTATAAGGAAATTCTTCCCATTGATTTTCAGAAACAACCCCTGAGTCCACAAGTTTGAAATTAGTGTGGATTTTCTTTAATCCAAGCAAAATTATACAAAATTATACCAACTATTTGATTAAATATCCTTTAAGTTATACAGGAAGTATTTTATTTTTCATGTGGCTAGAATTCTGCCTGTATATTTAACCATTCTTTCTATAAAAAGAGTGTGTTAGCATTTAGCCTTTTCCCATCAAATTAATGTAAGATTATAATATATCCAGATTTGGCCTGTGTGTAGGATTGTTGTTCTGTTGGAACACTCACTGTGTCCAAGTTTAAACCATCTAGCTGTTCATTTGTAGGCATGTTGAAAAAAGTTGGATGCTCTCATTTTGCAATGCTCTTAAAAGCACCTGTATCATCAGCCGCTAAACAGGCCCACAGCATGATGCTGCCACTAACATGCTTGTCAGTTGGAACATTGTTCCTAGATCCTGAATCTTTACATTGAAACCTTTAAAGAGATTGCTTAATATAGGTTGTTCTATTTTTTTTTTTTTTTCCTCACCTATAAAACATTTTTTTCTAAAAGGAACTTGCCTTGTTGCAGGTCCAGGGTCTCCTTTCTGTCCAAAAACTGATCCCCACCTCACATTGAAATGGATAATGAAGACTGACACAAACCATTTGAAACAGTTCTGACTTCAAGAACATTTAAGTAAATGTACAGACTATTCTTTAGTCTAGAGGAAGTTATCAAGTTTAAATGGTTTCCAGCTATTTTTATAAGAGTAGTTGGTAAATATCCTACCATAAATTTTCCACAAACCTACTGATAAAGCCTTTGTTCACTCTAACACTTATTGAGGAAAGTGGGGTTTATATAAATAATTATTAGGGATGCACGATATAATCGGCCCCCTATCGGTATCAGCCTTAAAACTGAATATCGGACATCGGCCACCCCACCGATATTTAACCCGATATTTGATCAGCTTCTGAGTTTCTAAAGTCTAAAAAACAAAAAAAAAAACAAAAATACTACTTCTTCTTCTTCCTCAAAAACTTCTTTTTTACAGACTTAAAAACCTCTAAAAACAAGGGAAAAAATATTGATGCATTAAAATATCACAATATCTTCATATGCTGATATATTGCCTTTTAAAAACACCATATCAATCTCTTTTACTAATGAAATATTGCTATATGTCATCATTATGCTAAGAAATCCCCCGAAAATTCATGAAATTTTGCCATATTTTTATATGTTGATATATTGACGCGGTATCGATCTATTTTACTAACAAAATATCACAAGAATTTGCAAAATATCACGAGAGTTTGTAACAGAAATATGAAATTTCACGAGATTTTGAAAGTAAAATAGATCGATACCGCGTTTTTAAAAATTAATTTGATATCAGCATATGAAAATATATTTGAGTATATTATTTTTCAAAGTGTCAGAAATGGATAATAAAACTGCTATTTTCAATGACTACTTATTTTTGTCCAGCTTTAACATCAGTATCGATATCGGTTATCGGCTACATGAGTTTTAAAATATCGGATATCAGCCAAAATCCCAATATCGTGCATCCCTAATAATTATATATAAATTTATATAAATAATTGAGCCTTTTACATATTATTGTACAAGTACATATGACCCTAAATGGATTTGACATAGTTTGCACTTAAAAAAAAATTAATTTAAGAACCCAGTCTTTGTTTTTGTAATTCATCATATTATACGTTATAAAATAGCTCCACCCTGGAACACAAAAAACCCCAAAAAAACCCCACACTGCAAAAACAATCCAGAAATAAGTAAAAAATGGCTTAAATTAAGTATATTTAGCCTTAATTTGAGCAGGTAAATAAGATGATTTGCCAATGGAATGAGTATTTTCACTCTTAAAATAAGATAGTTAGATAATATTTACTTGAAATAAGACGATAAAATAGTTTTTTCTTATTTTAAAAGGAAATTGTCTTGTTCCATTGGCAAAGTGTCTTACTTATCTCCTCAAATCAAGGAAAAACACACTTATTTTAAGAAAAAATAACTTATTGAGATTTATATTTTTTGCAGTGCAGAATGAATCAGACTTTTATGTCAGTGATGATTGCATGAAAAACTTGACCAGCACAGTTATTTTAGGGACATGTTTACTGTTAGACCTGAGTAATAACTTATTGGGTTATTTTTTCCAGTAGTGTTTCTCAGGTGAGATTAGACTAGGGATGAAATATATATATATATATATATATAGCTGTTAAGTTTAAACTACATGAGAGACAAATAAAACAGTATTGATCTTATATTAAAAAAAATAGTCCATATTAAAAGCAGCCAAAAATCAAAATACACGGTTAATATAATATTCTTTAAGTTTTAAAAGTAAAAAAATATTTAAAAGAGATGAATATTTCAGTGTTTTTAAACAACATATTTTTTTATTTAGCACCACATCAGTCATTTAATAGCAAAGTGACCCCACCTAAAGCTGTTTGTTATAATGCAGATTTTGTTTTTTGTTTTTATAGTCTGTAAGGACTTCTTTGAAGAAAAGCTATTCAAACTAATTTACTTTTGTTTTGAGAAGCCTAATATATGAATGTCAACCAATAATGAATATGAAACACATCCTGCGATGATTCCGTGGTAAAAGCAGGACTACACTGGAAAAAATCC